CAGTTTCTTGAAATTCTAAGAAAAGACAAGCTAAAAAACTAAGAAGCAGTCCTGTTTGGTAAAGGAGAATTTTTATCTATAAAAATCATTGTTGAAAGTGAAATAACATTGGTTCATGATAAATCATCAAATCTTTATAATTCTGTCCATCTGTAAGGAGATGTTAACTTTTGATTGTAATAGAAGTTTTTAAGTGATTTAAATATTTATTACCAAGAAGTGTTAAGCCATGATTTAAATATTTATTAATACTTTGAAGAAGATCTTTTGAAGGATGAAACACATAACATTTGATTATTTTATGCAAATCTTTTTTTTTAAATCATTTTACCCAAAGGGAATTGTTGCTGGGAGTGAAAGAGAATTTTAGTGAGGAGAAAGGACAATAAAAGAACAGATTTCAGAAAGACAGAAGATGGCTTAATTACTAAGACCAAGGGGTTTACTGGGAGAGAAAAGAATGAGAAGACCTTTTAATAAAAGAACTTTCAGAAAGACAGAAGATCTTTTGAAGGATGGGAAAAGAGAATGAGAAGACTTTTTGGAGGAGAAAGGACATAAAAGAACATTTCAGAAAGACAGAAGATTATTTTACTAAAAATCTTTTTTTGAGAAGACTTTTACAATAAAAGAACAGATTTCAGAAAGACAGAAGATGGTGATAATGCCACTAAGACTGGGAGGAAAGAGAATGAGAAGACTTTAGTGAGAGAAAAGGACAATAAAGAACAGATTTCAGAAAGACAGAAGATGGCGATAATGCCACTAAGACGCAAAGGGTTACTGGAGAGAAAGAGAATGAAGAAGACTTTGAGGAGAAAGGACAATAAAAGAACAGATTTCAGAAAGACAGAAGATGGTGAAAGGGGTTACTGGGAGTGAAAGAGAATGAGAAGACTTTAGTGAGGAGAAAGGACAATAAAAGAACAGATTTCAGAAAGACAGAAGATGGTGATAATGCCACTAAGACGCAAGGGGTTACTGGGAGTGAAAGAGAATGAGAAGACTTTAGTGAGGAGAAAGGACAATAAAAGAACAGATTTCAGAAAGACAATAAAAGTAGAGAAAGAGAATGAGAAGTTTTCAGAAAGACAGAAGATGGTGATAATGCAGAAAGAGAATGAGAAGACTTTTGAGAAAGGACAATAAAAGAACAGATTTCAGAAAGACAGAAGATGGCGATAATGCCACTAAGACGCAAGGGGTTACTGGGAGAGAAAGAGAATGAGAAGACTCTAGTGAGGAGAAAGGACAATAAAAGAACAGATTTCAGAAAGACAGAAGATGGTGATAATGCCACTAAGACGCAAGGGGTTTTACTGGGAGGAAAGAGAATACTTTAGGAGAGAAAGGACAATAAAAGAATTTCAGAAAGAAGAAGATGGTTTAGTAAGGAGAAAGGGAGAAAGGACAATAAAAGAACAGGTTTCAGAAAGACAGAAGATGGTGATAATGCCACTCTAATAAAAGAACAGATTTCAGAAAGACAGAAGATGGTGATAATGCCACTAAGACGTAAGGGGACTGGGAGTGAAAGAGAATGAGAAGACTTTAGTGAGGAGAAAGGACAATAAAAGAACAGATTTCAGAAAGACAGAAGATGGCGATAATGCCACTAAGACGCAAGGGGTTATTGGAGAAAGAGAATGAAACTCTAGTGAGGAGAAAGGACAATGAACAGATTTCAGAAAGACAGAAGATGGTGATAATGCCACTAAGACGCAAGGGGTTACTGGGAGTGAAAGAAATGAGAAGACTTTAGTGAGGAGAAAAGGACAATAAAAGAACAGGTTTCAGGAAGACAGGTTTCCAGGAAGACAGAAAGATGGAAGACTCTAGTGAGGATAATGGTTTCACTAATAATGTCACTAATATGCAAGGGGTTACTGGGAGTGAAAGGAATGAGAAGACTGTACAATAAAAGAACAGGTTACAGGAAGACAGAAGATGGTGATAATGCCAAGACTTTGGGAGAGAAAGAGAAATGAGAAGACTCTAGTGAGGAGAAAGGACAATAAAAGAACAGGTTTCAGGAAGACAGAAGATGGTGATAATGCCACTAATATGCAAGGGGTTACTGGGAGAGAAAGAGAATGAGAAGACTGTAGTGAGGAGAAAGGACAATAAAAGAACAGGTTTCAGGAAGACAGAAGAAAATGCCACTAATATGCAAGGGGTTACTGGGAAAAGAGAATGAGAAGACTGTAGTGGGAGAAAGGACAATTCTTTCAGAAAGACAGAAGATGGTGATAATTCCACTAAGATGCAAGGGGTTACTGGAAGTGAAAGAGAATGAGAAGACTCTATTGTGGAGAAACGACAATAAAAGAACAGGTTTCAGGAAGACAGAAGATGGTGATAATGCCACTAAGATGCAAGGGGTTACTGGGAGTGAAAGAGAATGAGAAGACTTTAGTGAGGGAAAGTGAGGAGAAAAGACAATAAACGAACAGGGAGACAAATGATGACAATTGTCATTGCATTTAAATTTTTGAAGGTTGTAGGTAGCAGAGAAGAAAGAAGTTGGAATGGAGTTCTACAGGTGAGACGTGAGAGATGTAAATAGAACATACGGTTGCATCTAGCTAGTTCAACATTAAGACCTAGTTGCCAATATAGTTGCACACTTTAATTCCTGCAGTTAAGACACCAAGGAGGAAATCTCATCAAAACAATTACCATGGAAATATTTGTAGAAAAGACACAAGGAAGCTATGTCACAGTGGTGAGAAAGTGACTGAAGTAAAGATGCCAGGTCAAGGTTGATTATATTGCAGGCACTTCATTGTGGGTAATTGTAAAAAATATCCAGACTATGCTTGAAAATATGAAAGATCAACATGCAGTTTGCTATTTCTGAGGTGTGATATTGCAACTATTTACATTGTTCAGACTGTTGTCCTCATCTTTATTGTCATATTCACAATATTTCAGCCATTGCTCTGGCCTTCTTCAGTTGATATACATTGGAATTTCAAACTGGGCCCTTTATTTTATCCACCAGGGTAGATTGTTCTAGTTCCACATGCCATACCTTTTCTGGATGTCTCAGTTTCAGTTATTTCCCTTTAGTAACTCAACTCTCCAAGACCACGTGGCCCAGTGGATAAAAGTGTTGGTTGAAGTAATCCAGCGATTTCACCCAAAGAGTTGTGAGTTCAATACTTGGCCAGAGTAGAGTAGAACCAAGCCTTGGTGAGTTACTAAACGGAGATAACTGAAACTGAGATATCCAGAAAAGGCCTAGAACAATCTACCGCCATGGACTAAATAAAGGGTTTGGTTCGAAATTCCAACGTATATCACTTGAAGAAGGCTGTAGTATATGACATTAGAAATGTTGTGAATATGCCAATAAAGATGAGGACAACAGTCCAAACAATGTAAATAGTGTAAATAGATGTTTTTCTGCTGTATATTTCATAAGCAGTATGTATGCTTTAATAATGATCCATTTGAATAAGTGATCTCTAAATATTTTTCAGGCTACTGATTTGGTGGTGGCTAAAAGACACTGCCCTACACTTTCTACACACAAACACACACACAAGCACACAAAAGTAAAAGGTG